CCAAACAAAACAGTACAATTCCGAGTTGGATAGAACTGAATCTGCGCAATTAACTCAACCGAACTGCAAAGCTTCCATCTTGGGTTCCTTTGCGAGCTCGTCCTTTCTGCTTGCACTGTTCATAGCGCGTACAATGTTGTGCCGAAGCGCACATTGCGCGAGTACCTGCAAATGCATCAAGCGGAAAATGCGAAAGCAAACAAACACACAAACACACCATTCACACGCAAATGCATTCGCACACGCATACTCGTACAAACAGACGGCAGGATGTCGTGCAATGTGCATTTGCACCCAACAGAGCCTGCTAGAGAATGGGACATGGGATCTGGTGGTGCTGCTTGATGGGAAGAAAGCGATACAATGCAAGTGGGTGCTGAGGATCAAGACCGATGACAAGGGGCAGGTCACCATCTACAAGAGTAGGCTGGTGGCGAAGGGGTTTATGCAGAAGGAGAAGCAGGACTTCAACGAGATCTTTGCTCCCACTGCCAAACCCCTACTCTCCGTGTCTTGTTGGCAGATGCAGCCGTTAGTGGGAAATTCATCATTCAGATGGATATTTCAACGGCATTCCTGAATGGGATTTTAGAGGAGGATGTGTACATGACGCAGCCGCCTGGGTATGAGGATGGTACGGGCAGGGTGTGCAAGCTCAACAAGTCCATCTACGGCTTGAAGCAGGTGCCACGCTGCTGGTACCAGAAGTTGGCAGCTGTTTTAGAGGAGATGGGATTCAGGACCAGCAGCTGTGATGAGAGCCTCTTTCTCAAGGGCGAGGGGGAGAAGCTGGTGCTGTTTCTGGTCTACATGGACGACATTCTTCTCTTCAGCAGCAGCATGAAGGAGATCCAGAAGGTGCAGCAGCAACTGATGGAAAACTTCAAGTGCAAGAACCTTGGGGAGGTAAAGTACTTCCCCGGGATGCACGTGGAGAGGGATCCTGATCACAGGTGGTTGAAGCTGCACCAGGAGAAGTTCATCAAAGAGCTGGGGGAGAAGTATAGGATTGAGAATGAGCGCAAGGTTGCAACTCCCCTGCCAGCAGAATTCCCGTGGTCTCCGATTCCCGTGGTCTCCCGTGGTCCCGTGGTTGCGCTGATCGCTCGCTTCAGCGTTATCGCGTTGACACGTGTCGTCATCGGCTCTGGCTCTGCCCATTTCGGAAGCGTCACACGTCCCTTGTTGCTCAGCACCGTGACGGCCCTCGTCGTCCAGTGGATCGTCAGATTGTATCGCTAAAGCCAATCTCGTCCTAGCAGCACATCGCAGCCGTCCAGCGTCGTCGCCAGCATCTTCATCGAAAACCCGAAATCGTCGCCACACTTCATCCGAATTTGTCGCACCTCGTCCCTGATCGCCAGCGGTGTCCCATCCACCAGTCGCGCATCAATCTTGGGCAGACACCTGTCCAGCTTAACTCCAATTTTTTTTGCCGTTGCCAGCTTGACGAGACTGTGGCTCGCCCCACCGTCAACGAATATTTTTATTTTATGTCCGTTAACCCTCCCCACGACCAGCACAAAGTGATCCACGTGTTCATCCACCTTATTCGTCCGGTTGCGGTCGATAGCCCGTATCGGTACCACCACTCGGTGTGGATGTTGATTGCCGGGCGACGGGGTCTCGTCAGTAGGTGGCCCGACTGCTACTGACTCGTCTCTTTTCCCGACCCCTCTCCGTCGTTCCCGTTCCCCTGTTTCAGCTTCGGGCAGTCTTTTCTCCAGTGGCCCGGTTGGTTGTAGTTGAAGCACGTGTTTGGTGCACGTCTCGGCGCATCCACACCGTTGATTGTGGGCTGGCGAGGCGATCCACGCAATTGATTGCCCTCCCGGGAACTCAATCTCGCCCACTGCATCAGCGCGTTGATTCGGCAAGCTGGACGGCATTAAGAAAATCGCGTGGCCTTGTCCGTCGCACTTCGTACTGCACCTCATACTTGAGGCCTGCGACGTATTTTTCGAGCCGCTCTGCGTCGCTCATATCGTCCACTTGGTCGGCCAAGGCCCAGAACGTCGCAGTGTAGTTTTGGAGCGATGTCACCTGCTTCCAGGCACGCACCTTCATGCGAGCAGAATCCGAGGCGGATACATGCTCGAACCTAGCTTGCAGCACGGCGCCCCACTCCGTCCATGTGCGTATCGTGGCCACTCCGAAGATTGAAGTTGCTCGTTGAGTGACAGGTGTCGATGTCCCGTTGTTTGCATGTGATAACCCTGCCGAAGTCCCCTCTGTCTGAAGCGTTCGTTTCCACCACTCCAACGCAGCACCACATAACAATGACACTGCAAAATTAATGCGAGTGACATCATCAGCAATTTGCGCAGCATGAAAGAAAGCTTCCACACCGAACAACCATGCGGACACAGTGACGGTTTCGTCGCTTGGGTTGAACGGGGGCAGGGTTCGTTGGTTTTATCTTGATAGTTGTCGAAACTGTTGCTGTCGCATGTACTGTGGGTGCCGTTGAAGCCATTGCCGGGTTTGTCGCTGGCGCCTGCCTTGGCGTTGTCTGCGACTGTTGTCTCGGCGTCGCTCGTGCGTGTTGCTGCTGCGACGACTGTTGCTCCGGCCCCCCTTGTGCTTGTTGCTGCCATGCCACCCACTCCTCGTCAGCGTCTAGCGAGCCCTGTAGCTCGTTAAACACGTTCTCGTTAAGTGATGAGCTGCTACTTGCTTCGTCCACGACGGGGCAACTCCTAACGCGATTCACCTCGCGCCTGGCGTAGTTCGGCGTTTTCCACCCTCAGTCCTGCATGAAGCGGGCAAACTCGGCTTGATTCATGTTTCTCAGGCTTCTCCTAACAAGCAGGGGGTTAACAGCGACTTTTATGACTTGATGAAGGCGCAAACGCTATTAGTCGGAGCGAAATAATTGTCTCTATTTCTCATCCGACCGCTTTGCAGCCCACCAAATCCATCTCCAAAATGTTATCTCCCGAAACCATCCCTAAAGACTCTTTGTAAAAACTTTCGGGACAGGTTGAAAAGTGTCTCGAAAGACATTTTCGAGACCAAGTCAAATGTGCCCCGAAAGTGTCTAGCGGAACAGTCCCGGAAGTGTCTTTCGAGACACTTTCGAGACACCTGCGAGACATATGCAACCAGCCGACAAGTGACTCTCCCCAGGACAGATTCGGGACACTTTAGAGACAATTTGAAATAGACCACTGTATATCACGTCTGCCCTTGCCCCCATAATTGTACCCGTTATTAGTTCAATGAGCAGCTGTGTTTCAAACATATCTATTACAAAAACAGCGCAAACAGCAAAATCCGAAGAGGAGCTGGCATTACTATCAAAAACTACTAGTTCACTCCCTTTCGGTTACTGAAGTTCTATAGAAAAGGAAAAAAAAAAAAAAAAAAAAAACTTATTTCCCAAGAACCCAACACCCATGTCCCGAAACCACTATTGCGGCAGGGGAGGTCCCAGCCACTTTCCCAACCCTGGTGACCAGCCATCTTGAATCACTCCAGCCACGGACCTTGGTCACCCATGTGCGACGCAGGTCGCACCTGATACTCCTCCGGCAGATACTCATTGAACCCACTCTCGTTGATGTACCAACAGCCCAGCCTCACCCCACTTGAAAGCCCCCAGCTCATGAACATACATACAGGCGCCCAGCCACATCTTGATGGCTGCTTCGACGTCGGCAAGCACCTCCAACATCTCGCACTCGTTGGTCAGGGGGCTTTGTGAGAGAGTCATTGACTTCCCCTTCAAGTTGGTCATGCCATAGTCAAACTGTCACAGGATCACAATACACCATTCAAATTACAATAGATTTAGGAGAGATCAATATGCCACAGCACACGACTTTATGACACCCACGTATCACATGGGGCGGTGCACACTCACAGAGAACAGGACCCAGGCAATGTGATAGGGGACGAGCACAAGGATCCTGTCAGCCATGGCCCACTCGGGGTATGCCGCCTTGCACGCCGCAAAGAACAAGGCGCTGGTGAAGGGCCTCTTGTCGCCCTTCCCATGGCTCCACGAAGACACCTTGTGTCCAAGGTGCTCCTCTGCCACTCAGAAAAGGGGATGGATGGGAACAGAGTTACTAAGTGATTACGTATCTCGCAGTTTGGCGAGATGCAGGTAAGGCATGGACTATGGCAAGGCAGTGGAGCAATACGTACGTGGCCCAAGGGTCTCCCACCACTCTGCCTTTTTGGCAGGATCGAGCTTTTACTTGTAGATCCCCTTTCCCACGACGTCTATCCCCAGCCCGCAGACAATCGTGTGGCATCCAAACGATGACGAGTCATTCCTGAACTTCGTCCACACCTTTTTGACCTTGGAACTGTACGCCGTCTTGGACATGGCGTAACAGACCTGGACATAGCTCACGTCATGCGTAGCACGAAGAATGATACGCAGGGCCTCATTCCTCACTGTGTTTGCGGGGAACAGGGTCACACCCCGCGCTGCGAAGTTGCGTAGCAGGAAATCCATTGCCATCTTGGCATGCACCTGTGGGCGGGATCAAAGCATGGTACAAGCATAAGATTGCAACAAGTAGGAGCCCTCTGGCAATAGGCCAACCGCTGATGCCAAGTTCGCAGCCAGTGCATGCAACTTGTGTGGGTGGGAGAATGCAGATGGTGCTACGTGTGGAAGAGGGCCACTCGTGAGCAAGTGTACAACATACCCTCTACAATGTGCGCATACTCACCACAATCTCATCAGGCGATGGCACGCCACGTATCAAGCCCTCCCCACTCCTCTCCGGATCATAGTCAATGATCAGTGTCATCTGCGGGACGTTCCTCTCCCTCTTGACACCACGGGCTTGCAAGCCGTCAGCAGCCCCTGCGCCATGCTCGCAGTACGCTGCTCCTCGTGTTCGGTACGTGTCTGTCTGCTAGTCATTCACACCCCCACGTACAGGTTGTGGCGCAGGAATAGGGGCGGGTGCACCTCCGTTGGTGTTGTTGATGTGGTCTCGCTCCTTCTTGAGTCTGTTGGTGTGAAGCCCTCCGTTCATTCAAGTGCGCGGTGCAGCAGCCGTCCCGTGGCCACCTGCCTGGGGTTGGGGTGGGGCCTGCGAGGGAGGCGACGCGGGTGGATCCGGCTGGTTATTGGTGAAAGCATGAGGGTGCGTGCCAGTAGCCGTACGTGCAGCCTGATGTTGGTTACTCGCGGCTGCATGCGTGTCCCATTTACTCCCACCGTGAGTGATGGGAGCCTTTCCACGTTCTTCGCGCCTGCGGACAGAACTGTCAATACTCGCCAGCGCCTCTACCCTATCAGCAGCGAGCAATGGAGTGCCACGACTGTTAGCGGCCGCAAGGATACCCGATATGTCACCACCACGTCGCTGGCGAACACTGGCTAGCAGCCTCTTCAACTGTAACACTTCTGTATCCTCCAATCCGGCATCCCCTACACCCTCTTCGGGTGACGAGTCCCCGTGCTCTCCCTCCATGTCGAGAGTCTGTCCTACACCACCATCAAAGAAAGGCGTCGGCACCATTCCAGGGAGGCCAGCGCCCAAGCTCGCTCCTTGTTGCGCTTTGAGAGGGGAGCGATGAACCAAAGGTGACGGCGGCGATGAAGCAGCATGCACCGAGGCGGGAGAGAACATTGGTCCACGCTTCGCCGAGCAATACTGCTGCGTGGGAATGCTCGACCACTGCCTCCGCGCATTGAGTACCGGCTCACTTCCTTGTGGCGTCAGCACCGCCGACGGCTTCAACTTGGTGGCTGCATCACGCTTGCTCCCCTGATCTGGCGAACTCTGGTCAATGAGGGGCGGCTTGCGATTGGGACCGGTTGGAGGAGACGACGGAACATGAGGGCTGGTATGACTAGCCTCGCCCATCACCCGACCATTCGGCTCATGATTCGCGTCATCCGCTCTAGAACGGGTGTGGTGCTGCTTCGAGTTCACCATCCCTGCTGACGCCATGCGCGTTGCGACGGCCGTCACCGGCTGCTGTTGCTCATGTCCCTCTACCTTCCGCGTGTAAATGCTTCCTCCCTGCCGCCACATATTCTCTTGGCGGGACGCCCTCCCACGGACTTGTCGCACGACGGGCTTGTGCTCCCGGGCCTTCTTTTCTCTGGGCGGCCTCTTTGTTTGTCATCCGCGCTTTATTGGAGGAACTGGCTTAACAACAGTGCCAAGGGTGCCTGGTGGGTTGGCGTTGGAAGTGGGCATACGCGGTACATCAGAGTCAGTTCCAACCTCGTTGCCAGATGCCTCCCAATCTTTGTCCGCTGTGTTATCGCCACTGCTTGACGCCGCTCCTGACTCGGATGTTCCCTCCTCCGACTCCGGCGCGGTGCAGTCAGAAAACGACACCGTATGAAGGATTGCGTTGTACTTCACTAAAGCTCCAGCCCGCACTCGCAACTTCTTGGCCCGCCATGATCAGTTCCGCCGCTCTCCACGGGTTTTGGGTCACTCACTGCATGGTGGGTCTCTATAGCAACAAAGAGGCACGGAAACGTATACTTCACCATATAAAAACGCAATTAAAGTGAAGAGAGGAGGCAGAACACGACGCGTAGACTGAACAATGCTCACCGGTAGCAACGTTGGCCTCCTGCTTCACGTCGTCGTCAGCGTCAACTTGTTTCAACGGCTTGCGTCGGCCACCACGGTGCTGCGCCTGCAGTTCCAGCCTCTCCTCGACGGTGAACCCGTACGGTTTAATGGGAGGGTCAGCAAACCCAGCGACAACCGGGGCTTGCTCCGCGTTCAGATAACTCTTGGGCGTAGGGTTGGCCACCCGGTGCTGTCTCAAGAACGTCCTAGTCGCCTCTACGTCCGCCGCCCATTGTGCACTTGACGGCTTAGTCTTACGCCCATTTTTTAAGCCTTCAAAACCATCAAGACTCTGGGGAGGACGTCTCTCACGCACCGGCCGTGCGACTGCAGCACACATGGTGAGCGGCTGTCTCAATCTCACCTACCTAAATAGAGCGCATACAACACTGAAGAAAACAGCCAGCTGGGTCGCCGTGGGGTGAGCGTAGCAATCCCATGAGGAATAAGAAAACGAGTGGGAAATTGGAACCGTCAAATGGAAGGGGAGCTCACGGATCGACCTCGTAGTAGCTTAGAAGGCCGTTGATGCCACTCCCCGGGGACACTCTCAGCCGTAGATATGCATACAGTGCCCATCCGGCATGGTCCACACACTACGCTGCCGTAAGATGCCATTGCTGGGAGCTTCCGCAAGGGGGACCTGTTTGCTATATTGGTCGTGTCAGTCCTTTGTTGAGTGTGGGTATGCTCGTGACCATCTTGTGTGCAGTGTGCTCTATGGGACTGGGCGTATGTCGATATGCCATGGGGTAATCTGTACGAGGCCATCGGTATCTGTATCTTACATGTGGTGGATGAGGGTCTCTGGGTGCACATCATGAAGTGCATCTTAGGGAGACTTACGCCCACTCTACGCGCGGAGCTATTGAGGTGTGTGTGGTTGCGGGAGCACATGCGATTGTCGTCTTTCAGACATCAAATCTCATACTGCGCCATGGATTGCTGCATAGATATGGCCTTGGTGCTCATCTTCAAGATGACCTTGGTAAGTTACCCTTCCGCTGCCCATGACTTGGCGTGTGTTCCATGCAGGCGTTGCCGGGCAGTTCTTGTGGACACCCCGGCCTCGATCTTACGGGCTCCAGACCCGTCGTACTACTTCCGTACTGTGGCCCAGTATGCGGCATGGGAACACCGGGCCATGATGCAGATCGTTCCCCTCATCACGCACCTCCCCGGGTACGAGGACATTGGAGAGGCGACCGTTATGTTCAATGACTGGTACAGGGCATACTTCCGCGTGGAGTATCACACTGATCAATCTCTTGCGGCCATGGTCATTATGACAGAGAGGTGATACCACATAACCTTGTCCGTTGATCTTCGCTAGACGCTTTATTGTAACCCCAAACCCAGGCCTGGTTCCATACGTTGCTCTATGTCTTTGATGCCCGTTGCGAGGTTAATAGCTATGCCCTGACCGTTTGTGTGTCTTTCACACCATCGGAGTATTGCACGACTTGACAACACGTGTTGGTGTATGTGGCAGGCTCATCGCTAAGCTCGTTGCCGTGTTCCCGAATCAGCGATCGGGGTTCCTTATCGTGAAGGTACACCAGCTGTCACACCTCCCCGCCGCCATCGTGACGCGCGGCATGCCCATCGAGTAATCGACCAACATGTATGAGGCCAAGCACAAGATCTCTGTGAAGTGTCACGCTAAGAACACAAACTGGCGAGACGTCAACCGCGACATTACAGTGAAGCACGCGCGGATGGCCGCCATTAGGGGGCTGGTGCGTGCCGAGGGGGGAACCCGGGTCTACGAGACCGCCATGCGCATGGTAAGACGGCTCTGTGAAACGTAGAACGAGGAATGGGTGCATTGAGCAGCATGAGGAGTACAAGTACCAAACCCTAAAGTGTTGTACCCCATGTAAGCTACCCCACTACAGCCTACACAGACTATAGTATATGAGTTTGACACACCCCCATAGGCAAAGTGGGGGAGAACAAGGGGTCACAAGACCAGTCAAGCAAAGCAAGGCAAAGCAAGCTCAGGGTGGATCACAACGTCACCACACATTCTGAGCACAAGTTCAAGGCCACAAGGCCAGTTCACATGCAAGATTACATATATATAACGCTAAACAAGCAAGAGCAGGTATATATATATGTAACAGTACAAGCAAGGTCAAGAAGTGAGCAAGTGAGGCACAAGACCTAACAGAGTACAAAAGCGCTGATGATCACAAGGCGCGAGTGCCTTAGTGAAGATATCAGCAGTGTTGGCCTGAGAGGCCACGTAAGCAAGGCGCAGCTGACCACGCTGCTGCAGCTCACGAGCAAGGAAGTAGCGAAGAGCGATGTGCTTCGTTCTGTGCTCCAGTCTGTGCTCCCGACACAAGGCCAGCATGGCCTTGTTGTCTACGTACAGCACTGGAGGAGAACGAGGCGGCTCTCCCAGGTCAGTCAGCAGGTAGGTGAGCCAGCGTAGCTCCTGTGCAGCCATGGCCCCTGCGTAGATCTCAGCCTCACAACTGGAGCCGAGAACAGAAGACGAGCGGGTAGACCGCCACGAAACAGAGCCGGAACCAAGGCTGAAGGTGTAACCCTGTGACGACCGCTGCGTAGCCTGGTCGTCAGCCCAAGAAGCGTCTGCGTGACCAGTGAGGACCACTGAACTCTGCCCTCCAAGCACAAGCCCCATGCCCGACGTACTGCACAAGTAGCGCAACACCCTCTTCGCTGCAGCCATGTGCTCTGGTCTGTGTCTCCCAGGAGCAACATAGCGTGCCAGAATGCTAAGAGGGTATGCAAGGTCAGGTCGAGTGCAGGTCATCAGGTACATGAGGCAGCCAACAAGCTCTGGGTACGGGCCACTCGACTCTACGGACTCATCCGAAGGCAGAGCTGAGAGCGAGTGGCGTGTAGGCAGAGGAGTGGCCTGAGGCGAGGAGTACGTGAAGCCAAAGCGCTGAAGGACCTGCTGCACCATGTGTGACTGAGTCAGGGTTGTTATAATCACAGTAGGCTTCAATGTGCCTAAAACGAAAGATAGAGTGCACAGTCGGATTTCAAAACAGCGGCTTTAAACGTTCATAGCGTTCTGGTCACTGCTTCAAATGACCTGATTCAACTTGGATCTGGAGCGTTTTGAAGTCACCTACAATAGGCAATTTAGATCGCATGATTTCACCAAGTATTGACGACACAACGTCGGTTTGAACGAACGGCACTATGGCAGCCACTATAGTCTTAGAACACAAGATAGGAAGAGTTAGGAAGAGTTACGAGTTGGGAATGACTCCCAGCTCCTACAAACCCCAAGAGCCGAGGTATAGTGATGTGGAACAGTGCCAGACTGTCCCCAACCACGAAGGGTCTCGAAACTACCCTTCACTAGGGCCTACACCAAGTGAAATGTTACACTACACAAAGTAATGTAACTATCTTCAATTTCTTGAGGTGTACCCTTTTGGCGAGCTTCGCGATCACTTGAATGTTGACACCAGGGCTCGGGTTCTTCATCACAAACTCATCCTTGAGTTCTTGATGGGTCTGCTGCACACACCTGCGACACGCCGAACGTTCGACAAGCGACAAAATAGAAACCGCGCACGACAAAATAGAAACTGCGCGGGACACACAAAATGACCGCGTAACACGCGACTAGCGATAACTCGCTATTGACTTGACACACACACTCGACATCATGACCCATCATTCACACACTATTATAAGCATGAAATATATATTTATTTCATGCACTCATTCCATTCCATGCACACACGCATGCACGCACACGGACAACAAGCCGAGTGCAAACCGTAGGGTTGCACCAACAAGGGTAATGGTGCGCTGTGCTCTGTCCCGGGTGATCTGCAAGCCAAGGTAGCTGCGTAGTTCACCCAGGTCTGTGCACGTGTGTCTCTTCTGCAGCTCGGACTTCACGTAGGCAAGTCCAGCAGTGTCAGCTGTAGCAAAGACCAAGTCGTCGACGTACACGAGGATGTAGAAAGGCGGCAAAGAAGAGTCGGTGCGCAGAAACAGCGACGGGTCGGCAGTAGAAGGAGCAAACCCAAGAGCCGCAAGTGTAGTCCTCAGTGTGTCGTGCCACTCACGAGGCGCCTGGCGGGTGCCAGGAGGAAAAGTCCCAGTGAAGCCAGGTGGGCGGCGCAGCCAGATCTCCTCGTGCAGGCTGCCCTGCAAGAAAGCAGTGCTGAAGTCAAGAGAGTGCAGCTCGTAGTCTCGGTGAGCGGCTATGTGCAGCAGTACCCGAAGAGTGGTCATCTTCGGGGTGGGAGAGAAGGTCTGAAAGTAGTCAACTCCCTGCCGCTGACTGAAGCCACGAGCCACGTAACGCGCCTTGAAGACAGGCGGAGAACCCGGCGGCCGCTTCACCCTGAAAATCCACATGCCACTAACGATGTTCGCCCCAGGCGGGGGAACCTCGTCAACGTAGGTGCCTGTGGACTTCCAGGAAGCCATCTCTGCGTCCATGGCTGCCTGCCACTGAGAGGAGTAGGGACCCTCTATCGCCTCCGCGTAAGAGCGCGGAGTCGGGATGTCAAGTGCATCCGGGTCTCCCTCAGGGGCAAGCAGCATGGACACGAGATGAGGTGAAGCAGCAGCCAAGCACTGGAACTCCTCCTGCCTGTCCTCAAGGACGTCCGTGCCAAGAGCACACTCACCCCCGACGGACGGAGGACAGACAGACTCAGACTCAGCGACGAGACTGGCAGCGTAGTCTAGGCGACAGCGAGCAGCGAAGTCGACAAGCTCAGCAACCAGAGCAGACGCAGCAGTAGACTCAAAGGAAGGGTCAGTGACGACAGTAGCAAGGAGACAGGAAGAGAGGACGCGGGAGGAGAAGGCAAAGGGGCACGCAGTGGAGCAGTGGAACGACGTAGAGACTTCCGGTGCGTGCCGGGGACAGGGGGAGGACGCTGACGCGAACCACGACCACTAGTGCGAGCAGCACGGACAGGCGACGCAGGGCGAGACGCAGGCTCACGACGCTCAGCAAGACCTCCAGTAGGACCAGTGTAGGGAGAAGGAGAAGGAAGCGGGGAGGCTGGCTGTAACTGTGACTCAGACTGGACAGGAGGCGGACACTCTAAGCCAGGAGCAGGACCAAGAGAGGACGGAAGACCAAGAACCTGCTCAAGGAGCGGAACGAAGTACGGCCGTGGCCGCGCAGCGCCACCAGTGCCAGCAGGAACAGCACCAGCACCCCCAACGGGAGCACCAGTACCAGGAGTACCCCCGGCTCCAGCAGCGCCAACTCCAGCACCCTCAGCAGCACCAGCGCCAGTAGCACCTCCAGCGCCAACACCCCCAGTAGCTCCAGCTCCAGTCGGACCACCCGAAGACGCAGCAGCTCCAGCTCCAGGAGCACCAGCAGCACCAACGCCAGTAGCACCAGTAGCACCACCAGCTCCAGCAGGAGGAGCACCCGTAGGCCCAGCAGCTCCAGTACACCCTGTACGAGCACCTCTGGGACCCTCTGCACCAGCACCCTCAGCAGCAGCAGAACCTCCAGCGTCCGCAGCACCACCAGCTCCAGCAGCACGCCGCCAGCGCCGGGCGAACCACTCACGCAGCTCCTGTGGAGAGAGTAGCTCCCGCCGGGACGAAGCACCCGAAGAACCGCCAGGCCCAGCACCACCAGACGCCACACGAGCAGGCCCAGCACCCTCAGGCTCCGTACTCCGAGACACAGCACCCCCAGGCTCAGCACCCCCAGGCGCAGCACCCCCAGGCTCAGCACCCCCAGGCGCAGCACCCCCAGGCTCAGCACCCCCAGGCGCAGCACCCCCAAGCTCAGCACCCCCAGTCGCAGCACCCCCAGACCCAGCACCCCCAGGCTCAGCACCCCCAGCAGCACCAGAGTCAACAGCTACCTCGACAGGCTCGACTGCATCTACCTGGGACACACCTGAGGGAGCAGGACCCTGAGGGGGGAGGGGGTCTACCGGAGGGGGACCTGGCGTAAGGAAGAGCGGCGGGGGAGGGAGGGACGCAGTGCGGTAGGGGAAGAGACGGTAGTAGGGAACCGACTCGTCAAAGGTGACGTCCTGGGAGGACAGAACACGGCGCGAGGTGGGGTGGTAGAACTGCCAGCCTGGCGCGTCAGGAGGGAAGCCAAGGAAGACGCAGGGAACAGCACGAGAGGACAGCTTGTCCGCAGACAAGTCGCGGACAAACGCCCTAGATCCCCAGACACGGAACGCAGACGCATCGCCAGCCTTCCCCGTCCACAGTAAAGCAGGGGAGGTCTCCGGCATGGAGACCCGGGGGTGAAGGTTGATCTGATGCGCCGCGTACTGAACCGCAAACGGCCACAGAAAATGGGGGGCAGCCGCATGGACCATGGACGTACGAGCGACGTCCATGATCATGCCAATGCGGCGCTCAGCAATCCCATTTTGCTGTGGAGAGTCCGGAAGCGTGAAGGTCTGGCGGATGCCTCGTGCACGACAGAAGGCCCGCAGAAGGTCAGAGGAGAACTCTCCGCCTCTGTCGGAGTGCAGACGCAGAACAGGAAAGTCAGAGCCGAAACTCTCCCGGAGCTGGAGACGAGCTGCGCGGATCCAGGCGATCAACACCTCAGTGACGTCACCCTTGCTGCGCAAGGGGAAGACTGTGGTGTAACGCGAGTAGTCGTCAACCACCAGCAGGAAGTAACGCTCGTGACCCTGCCCACGGACGCGGGCTGGGCCCCACATGTCCATGTGGAGAGTCTGCAGCGGAGCCTCTGTCGGAGGAAACTCGGAGGAGTGAGGGGCAGCGCGCTGCCGCCCCTCGACGCAGGGAACGCAGGTGGGGGCAGGCCCCGGAGGAAGGGGAGGGAGGGACCGGGGGAGGCCAGAGACAAGAAGACGGGAAGCCATGCCTCGAAGACGAGGCAAGGAGGGGTGACCAAGGCGGTGGTGCCAGAGGAGAGTCCGGTGGGACAGGAGACGACACGAGCAGGGGGCAGACTCAGGACCAGACCTGGACGCCGCAGCAAACACCTGACCCGACGCTGCTACCTGAGCAGACTCAGTGACTGGAGGAGACTCAGTAGTCAGTGTGTACAGGCTCGACCTCGGCCGACGGGTAAACGTGGCCAAGTGTCGGCCCGTGTCTGCACACGTGCAGTGAGTCACCCGCTGACGCGCAGGGGTGAACTGGTCAACCCCCCCATCCTGTAGGTCAGCACCCGCCACCAAGTTCGTAGAGAACGAGGGGAGGTAAAGACCCGACAGGGAGCCAGACGGGACCGCCGGACACGGTAGGACAGTGGAGTAGTGGGCAAGAACAGGACCCCCAGAGGGGTCTGCCAGGGAGACTGCAACGGGCCGACTGAGTGGCGTGAGAGTGGTGCAGTCTCGAAAGAAGGAGCGGGAAGCACCCGAGTCAAGGGTGAAGGTGTGGGTGTCCGGAGACGACGCAGTACCTGAGAGCGCAGACTCACCGGCACCTGGGGCGGCAGACGCACTGGCACCTAGAGCAGCAGCCTCACAAGCACCTAGCGCAGCAGCCTCAATGCCCGGGTCAGGCGGAAAACACCGGTAACAGTCACCCTCATCACTAATAGTCACAGCATACATGGCAGCAAGAATAGCATCATAATCAAGATCAAAGATCGCAACACCCGCCCTAGACAGCTCGCCCCAGCGAGGGATCTCAGTAGCGTCGGGGAACTGGTGACGCCACGCGTCCGTCAGACGGCCGAAGCAGCGCTGGGTGGAGTGCGCTCCCCCACACTGCTCACCCACTCGGTCGCCGGTACGGAGAACGTAGGTACAGGGGCCAGCACCCCCGCCCCGCTGACGAGCAGTGTACCACTCACGAAGCTGCTGGGGGGAAGGGGTCTCACGAGTACGCTGCTGCTGCTGCTGCTGGCGCGTACCACCACCGGAGCCGACCCTCTGCGTAGAGCCGCCCCGACCCGCTCCACCTCCGCCGCCGCTACCTCCACCACCGCCTCCTCCTCCGCCGCCACTGCCTCCACTAGTGCCCCCACTCCCACCACCACTCCCACCACCACTCCCACCGCCACCCCCACTCCCTCCGCCTCCTCCACTGCCGCCTCCACCGCCGCCGCCTGCTCCCCCTTCGCCCTTGCCCCCCTTGCCCTTGCCTGGGCGGCGTCTCCCGCTAGAGGTAGACGCCGCAGCGACCGACTCAAGACCAACAAGGTCGACCGCAGCAGCAGCGGCAACAGAGGGCAAGAGGGGGGAGGGGGAGCACCCCTCAAAGACAGGGGTACGAGGGTCACCACGAGAGGCTCCTACAGCAACTATGCTCTTCTCTGCTGCTAGGAGACGCTCCTCGAGGAGGTCAACGGTGAGAGTGGTGGGGCAAACAGAGAGAAAGTGGTCCCTGACCGAGCGAAGGGTGTCAGGGAGCCGGGTGACTATGTAGTAGAGGGTGATGTACATGGGGGGGGGGGATCTTGGCGCAGAACTCAGCAGGAAGCGCAGCGCGGTAGCGGATATCACTAGTGCGAAGGTGCGTAATGAGGTCAGCGACAGTGGGAAAAGCGGCGAGGTCAGGGAAGAGGTACGGCAGCATGAGGCGGCTAAGCGCAGCAGTGGCAGGGGAAGAGTAGCGTGCAACTACAGCGTCGTACAAGGTCTTAGCACTCTTGTACTGACTAAAGTGCGCACGCTCAGCGGTCGGCAATTGACGGCGCACAGCAAGGCGGGCAGCAGCATCGCGCGTGGCCCACTGTGAGCGAACAGTGGCGTCAGCATCAGCAGTAGGGGAAGGAGAGGCACCAGAAGTGAGGTCAAAGAGGTAGAGACCGTCTGCCCTATCGCACTGTAGGAAAAGCTGCAGATCATCGAGCCAGACCTCAAAGTCAACAGCCCGACCCTCAGCATCAAAGACAAGGACGCTAGGGGTAGCCATGACAGCAGTGGCAGCAGTAGCAGCAGTGGCAGTAGTGACAGCGCAGTGCGGCGACACTCTTACCAGGGCAGAGAGCCGCAAGTGGTGGGGCAGGGCCGAGGCGCACCGAACGGGACGAGCCGAGGCACGCAGGTAGGGCCGAGGCGCGTCGGTAAGGCCGAGGCGCACCGGTGGCTGCAGTCAGCGGCGGCGGCGGCTGCTGTTGGGAAAGGCCGCTGCAGCTGCGGCTTCCGCGGCAGGGACGGCGGCGCCTGCTGCTGCAGGGACGGCGGCAGCTGCTGCGGCAGGGACGGCTGCGGCTGCTGCTGCTGGGACGGCGACGGCGGGCCGCGAAGGGCGGCAGAGGGGGCCGTAAAGGGCGGCGCGAGGGGCCGCGGAGGGCGGCGACGGGCCGTGAAGGGCGGCGCGAGGGGCCGCGGAGGGCGGCGACGGGCCGTGAAGGGCGGCGCGAAGGGCCGCGGAGGGCGGCGACGGGCCGTGAAGGGCGGCGCGAGGGGCCGCGGAGGGCGGCGCGAGGGGCCGCGGAGGGCGGCGACGGGAGGAGGCCGCGAGGGGCCGCGAAGGGTGGCGCGAGAGGCCGTAAGGGGCCGCACGAGGGGCCGTAAGGGGCCGCACGAGGGGCCGTAAGGGCGGCGCACGGGGCCGTCGAGCGGCGCGAGGGGCCGTAAGGGGCCGGAAGGACGGCGCGAGGGGCCGTAAGGGCGGCGCGAGGGGCCGTAAGGGCGGCGCGAGGGGCCGTGAGAGGGGCCGCTAAGGGCGACGCGAAGAGGCCGTGAGGGGCCGAAAGAGGGCGCGACGGTAGGGGAGGGCACACGGGGCGCGACTCGGGCAGGAGCGCGCTCCGGGCAGGAAAAAAAGGTTCGTGGTGGGCCCTAGGAAGCGTTCCCACTAGGGAACCTGCTCTGAAACCATGTGAAACGTAGAACGAGGAATGGGTGCATTGAGCAGCATGAGGAGTACAAGTACCAAACCCTAAAGTGTTGTACCCCATGTAAGCTACCCCACTACAGCCTACACAGACTATAGTATATGAGTTTGACAGGCTCGTGGGTGTTTACATAGAGCCATCTCCTGCTCATTTGCAGTGTTATGCCTAGAATTGACGGCCCCTCTATTTGTATCAAGCGTGATAAGTGCCTTCCACCCCTTTTGTCTTATGTATGCCTAAACCATAACCTGACTCAGGCGGTGAAGCACCACATCCGTGTCCTCACCAAACGAAGCCGTCGCATGGAGATCGACGTCGAGATGGATCCTGTGTGGTCGGAGTTCCGCGATGCTCTTGGCCCCGAAGTCATGGCAAGAGCGGTGGAGGTGATGAGAGCAGTGGGCATCGATGGGGATACGGTTCAAGTGAGGTTTGCATTCATTGGTGCCTCCCACACACCCCGCTGATCGCACCCGTGACTACCTCTATACGATATGCTGTTACACTTGTTCACGTGTGATCTGCTGTGATTGACACCAAGCACCTCGGCATTTACGTGTAGGTTCATAGTGCGCTGGCCATCCCCCCACACAACCGCATGGAGCGAGGCAACAAGGGTCAGGTTATCAAGGCATCGCCGGGGGAGCAGAAGTTCAGCCATGTGCAGATAGAAGGGCAGGGAGGGGTGTGGTATGGTCGCTGCCTCATGCTTTTTCACTTCACCGATGCTAGTCAACATGTTGTCCGACGTGCAATCGTCAAGTACTACACCGAGCTGGACACACCATGCCTTGTCACAGGATGCCGGAGGCTGAGGCTGACCATGGGGCGAGATGATTACGTAGTGTTGGAAGTAGACAGCATTCTTGGTCTGGCACACATAGTTCCCAGCTTCACGGAGCCAGACATCTCGCTTGTCAACCGGTTCCTGTTTTAGGTGCATGAGCCGTATCTTGAGAGCCCGAACATCCTTCGAAAGACTTCCCAAGTATGTGATGGATGAAATAGAACGCTTCCCAATTATATTTGTTGGGGAATTAATTCTTTGTAGCTGTGAGCTTTGGTGCGAGTGACGCATTGTCGTGCCGTTAATGTTGTGATAATACTATTATGTTTGGCTAAGCAGTCAGTGCAGATCCAAGCCAGATTACAACACAAGTCACATTCGGGACAGCTTGTTTTGCGGCGCAAAAGCTCCACTAGGCGGAAATGTTTCGAAAGTGTCTTTCGGGATGGTTTCAGGACCCATTCGCGACAGATCTGGGACAGAATAGTTTGGGGACAGTTTGGGGACTGCGCAATTGCAGATGTCTATCGCACCCCTCCACTAAACTACCCCGGAAACTGCTGGGTTACTTAGGAAAGTAGCTCTGATACCAGGTGTTATGAGTTGTAAGAATGAAGAGTGCGCAGAATGCAATATCGCGGAAGTGATTACAACTACTGAGCAAACAACGAGGCCTAGACTAATATAGCGAAACTCGCTAGGCCGAGATCGCGGTGTCGCGAGATGGTTGGGTGCAGGTTTGGGTTTGGGAAACCCAAAGGCGACGCGGTAGTGGTCCGGAGGCCAACGGGCCGAGCGTGATTTCCGAGAAGTTGGAATTGTACGCGTACAGAGTGCCTCACTAAGAAATTCGGAAAATTCCTTAGTATTGATGCTATCGCCTCATGGAAGCAGGACTCAACACTCGAGATGTGCGGCTGCGATTGGTCGCACAACTTTCGGCAAATACAGAAGCCACGGGCATGCTTCCCTTCCCAACTGCTACGTGGCTCGCTTACTTGTTACTCCGTCAAATTATGTGATTATTTTGTCCGCGATGAAGTCTCTAAATGCGCCTGCCAACCTGCTCGCTGCTGCTAGGGGTCTCTGCTCACAGCGTCTAACACTCTCGAAACTGCTATCCTCTTCCCGTTGACAGCGGAGCACCTGATGGTGGACGCGCATGGCTCGCGGTACGTGCTGCGATTAGTCCCACCCAACCGCTTTCGCTCCATTTTCCGCTAGGGGATAGAACAAGCATTCGCGACGTCGGGTTGTCTCTTCCCCTCTCGCGTCGGGTTGCCCCTTTCCCCCTATCGTTTACCCGATCGTTTTCCCCCGCCATGTCCCCCAGGTCGCCGCGCTCACAGCGCCTCCGGAGCGTTCGTCAGCACGCAGGCGCTGCTCGCCCTCGCGCTCGCGCTGCTGCTGCTGCGATCCTACATTAGTCGCCAAGGTATCGCACGCTCGTCGGCTCTGTTTCGTACGCTCGTCGCCCAGGTATCCGCCGAGGCATCGTGCGTTCGTCACCGACAGACTGCGTGCAGTGCAGCGCTGCTATGCGCCGTGCTGTGCCATTCCCCTCTTTCCCCCGTCACCTCCCCTCCCCCCTCCCCCTCCCCCCATTCCGCCCCCATCCTTCCCCGCAGCCGCGGCCGGCCAGGCGTGGGCGGCGCTCTTCCCGTGGGGCTGCGCGCTGTATGCCGCTCAGGCGGGCGTGGCTCCGCGCCTGGTAGTGGGTCGGGCGGGAGACGTGCCCATAGGGGGGAGTGCGGTGGGGAGTGGTGGAGAGGTGCCCATAGGGTGGAGTGCGGTGGGGGGTGGTGGAGAGGTGCCCATAGGGGGGAGTGCGGTGGGGGGAGGTAGTGGCGCTGTCTCCGGGGCGGGTGACCTGGAAGGTGCTAGCGTGGGTGCGTATGCGGAGCGTGCTGCTGGCTTAGCGGCGCACGCCGTGGAGACGGGTGAACGAGGGGGCTCTGGCGGGTTGGTAGACGCGCAAGCTCTGGCGCGCGAGCAGGCGAAGCAGGCGTCCGCGGCTGCTGGGGCCGCGGGTGATCCGCCAGCGGGTGATCTGCCAGCGGACTCCGCAGCTTCAGCTGCCGCGGCGGTGGGGTTTGCTAATGTGACACGCACGGCTGTTGGGTCGTTGCACGCCACAATCTTGACCGTTGATGTTTCAGATAATACAATCCCAGCCGTTGATGCTTTAAATACCAGCACGTCCGCTGGCGGTAACAGCAGCAAGGCTGGTGGCTTATCAGAGGCGGCGGAGCAAGCAGCATGCGAGGGCGCTGCGCTGACAGAGGAGGACGTGCGCGCATGGCAGGCGGAGGAACACGTTGCATTTGGACGCGTGCAGGTGGAGAGGGAGGGGAAGGGGGAGTGCGGGCAGGGTTGCGTGGTGGAGGCGGGGGTGAATGACGAGATGTGCTTCACCGTGCGAGGTGAGGTGAGGAGAGGGAGGGGAGAGGGTGAGAGGGGAGACGGGAGGGGGGGGGAGGGGGGAGAGGAGAGGAGAGGGGGGAGGGGGGAGGTGGGAGAGGGGAGAGGGGGGAGGGGGGAAAGGGGAAGGGGTGGGGGAATGGGGAGGGGGGAGAGGTCAGACTTACGGCGGTGAACCTATGGGAGAGGCGGATGAGCTAAGTTGACATTGTTAGAGAAGCCATTCACGCTCCGTGCAGCATGCTGCATTTTGACATGCTACGCCATGTTGTGAGAAGAGGAGCGGAGATGCTGCGGAGTGTAGGGGCTGTGTGTGGGGCTGTGTGTGGCCAGTGGGGGCTGTGTGTGGCCAGTGGGGGCTGTGTGTGGCCAGTGGGGGCTGTGTGTGGCCAGTGGGGGCTGTGGTGGGGGGCTGTGATTGGGAAGGTTATCTCATATCCTTGTGCGGTGGGGTGCTCTCATCTCCTTGTGCGGTGGGGTGCTCTCATCTCATCTCCATCACGTCGTGCCTTTTCAACCATTCCTGCTCTCCTCTGTGTGTGCGCCGTGCAGCACTGGACGCCAATGGGAGGCCATTTGACAATGGGTGCAGGTACGCCGCTGCTGCGCATACGCCATGGCTGCGTGCCCATGCATTTCGCTGTGCCCATGCATTTCGCTGTGCCCATGCATTTCGCTGTGCCCATGCATTTCGCTGTGCCCATGCATTTCGCTGTGCCTATGCATTTCGCTGTGCCCATGCTTTTCGCTGTGCCCATGCATTTCGCTGTGCCCATGCATCTCGCTGTGCCCATGCATCTCGCTGTGCCCATGCATTTCGCTGTGCCCATGCATTTCGCTGTGCCCATGCATTTCGCTGTGCCCATGCATTTCGCTGTGCTCGTGCATCTCGCTGTGCTCGTGCATCTCGCTGTGCTCGTGCATCTCGCTGTGCCCGTGTGTCTGTCTCCTTCCCATTGCATCTATCTGCACCCACCAATCATCATCATCCACTCTTTCGTGCCTCCGCCCCTTCCTTTCCTTGTTGCTCCTGCCTCACCCAAACACCCCTCTTCCCCCCCACACACCCCCCTCTTCCCCCCCACCCACACCCCGTCCCCATCTCCCCCCTGCCTCACTTGGAGAACCCCCGTCGAAGGCGGTGCGTGCGTTGGAGCGCAGGAGGAGGGAGGTGGCGGAGAAGAGCAGGTGCAGCGAGAGGGTGTAGCAGCCGGGCAGGGGCAGCTGGTAGCACACCTGGGGGTGGGGGGGGGATGGCAGGGGATGGGAGGGGATGGGGTGAGGCGACACCGATGGGCAGGAGATGCGGGAAGAGGCAGGCGGGGTGAGGTGGAAGCACAGGTGACGTGCAGGCGGAGTGATGGGGAGCGAGGTGCAAGGGAGTAGCGGCAGGTGAGAGGAGGAGAGAGACGCAGCAGGCAGCGGTGCGCGATGAGGTGTGTGGCGGGCTAAGCAGCGGAGAGGGAAATGGTAGAGTAGCCTGGATGCGAGGACATGGCGGAGAGGGTGGCATCGTCCCATGGGAAGTGACGCGTGGGTGGGAGGGACGCGTGGGTGGGAGGGACGCGTGGGTGGGAGGGACGCGTGGGTGGGAGGGACGCGTGGGTGGGAGGGTGGGAGGGTGGGAGGGTGGGAGGGTGGGAGGGTGGGAGGGTGTTGACCTGGTGGGACGAGTTGCCAGGGTGGTATGTCACCCGCGCTGCCATGCGCACATCCACGCCCCCTCCTTCCTCCACCTCCGCCTTCTCCGCGTTTCCCCCTGTCTCCCCGCCCTCCCCCTGTCCTCCCTGCCCCCCCTCCCCGCCCTGCTCCCACGCCTCCACCAGCACGGCCGCCCGCCCAGCAACTGCCCTGGCCTGGGCGCTCACAGCCACCGGCACCTCCGTCATGCGTGCACTGCCCTGCACCGCCACACCCGCGCTGCTCCCACTGCTGGTACTGCCGCTGCCGCTGCCCCCTCCTCGGCATCAGCGTGGCCGTCAGTGGTGCCGTGGCGGCGCTGCAGCGCGACGAAGGCCAGCAGGAACGCCCTCTGCCTGCCGGGGAGAGGAGAGAGACATGGGAAGAGGGGGGTTTGGGGGGAGATTGGGGGAGAGGATGGAAGGGGCACGTTCACTGGGGGGGCTTAAACAGTGAGGCGGAAGGGCGAAGTCCAAGGGGGGACGGGAGAGTTAGGGGATGTGCTGGTTCACGTAGCTTCCTTGCAGGAATGGGAAACATACTTGTGCATGCATGGGTGCATGCATGGGTGCATGCATGGGTGGGTGGCATGGGTGGGTGGCATGGGTGGGTGGCACGGGTGGCATGCCCAAGTCAACATGCACTCGGCATGGCTGTATCACCATCAATTTCCCTCCATCGCTTCCCATTAATCCGATTTCTCCCCCCTCCTTCACCCTTCCTCCCCTCTTCCTCCCCCCTCCTTCACCCTTCCTCCCCTCTTCCTCCTCCCTCCTTCCCCTATCTTCCCCCCGCCTCCCCCCCTCCCCTTTTGCAGCTACACGGTGGTGCACTGGCAGGCCATTGAAGCATGGGCACGGCCCACCTTCTCCCTTCACGCACACAGGTGCCTCACATGCCATGCCATGGGGCGTGCAGGGGACTGCTCAAGTGTGTCGCAGCTGACCTCACCGCACTGCAACGCCCTGAGTTACCTCACTCCTATCTCGCTGCTCTCACACCACGTTCCTATCTCGCTGCTCTCACACCACGTTCCTATCTCGCTGCTCTCACACCACGTTCCTTCTCTCTCCACTCACCCCATCCAACCTTCTCAACCCATCCAACCTCCTCACCCCTCTTCGAATGGTCCTTCTTTAGTTACACAGCAGGTTATACATCTCCTCTCTCTTCTCACTTCAAACCATTCCTCTCCCCTCTTTCTTATCTCTCAACGCTCTCCTTCTCTCAGCCTGCCACCTCTCTCAGCCTGCCACCTCTCTTCACTGCTCCGCACCACACACACTTCTGATCATACCGCTACCACTCTGCTGGCCCGAAACCACGTCTCGAGGAGCCTCCTCCTACGCATACCCCGCCTCGTGCTTTATCCCCTCCCCTCAGCACCTCCGTGCTTCCCTCCATGCCTCTTGCTTCGCCTCCCACTGGTTCTTATGCCACAACTTGCCTCCCCGACCCTCATCCTTGTTCCCCTCAAAACCTCTCTTCGTCTCTGCACCCATCCTTCTTCGTCTCTGCACCCATCCTTCTTCGTCTCTGCACCCATCCTTCTTCCACCCTCCAACCCCCCAACTCCCCTCTTCCTCTTCCTCCCCCCTTTCAGCCTCCCTGCCTTAATGCACGCCCCCCTCCTCTCCTCACCGCATCCCACCACTTGGGCTACAGGTGGGGGCATCGCTGGCAGCCCCGCGCATGCCTCATCTCACCTCGCCTTTCCCCCGTTCCTCTCCCCCCGATCCCCCTCTTCCTCAGAGCCACCCTACCTTACTGCACGCCACCGCTCCTGACCGCATCCCACCACTCCGGCTACTGGTTGGGCCACCTCTGGCAGCCCCACGCGTGCCGGCTGCGCCGCCTCTCCCCCCCCTCCCTGCGTGCGTGCTTCAACGGCCGCTCGCTGCTCTTCCTGGGCGACTCCCAGCTGCGCTACACCTTTGGCTTCCTGCGCCTCCTCCTCCGCTTCCCCTCCCGCACCGCCTTCCTCACCAAGTTCGCTGCCAAGCCCAAGGTGAGGCGGCAAGCCCAAGGTGAGGCGGCAAGCCCAAGGTGAGGCGGCAAGCCCAAGGTGTTGTAATTTCATAATTTGTACAACATACATAGGCTAGAATTAGATCTGTAGTACACTTATAAATTGGGGGTTGTTTAGTGTACCCTCCAACCACATTTTGTGGTTGGTTGGGATTGGTCCCTAGCTCAACCAATCCCAACCAACACACATTTGTGGTTGCTTGGGTCACAAGCAAGCTCACCCATTGGCCAACTTATTGGCCAATAGGGTAAGCTTCCCTTTCATCTCTCTCTTGCTCATTGTTTGTACTAAAGGGCCTCTTGGCTCATTATTCAATGTATCTCTTCTAGCTTTTCAACATGGTATCATGAGCTATTGGCTCACGCCTTAATCCCTCGATCCTAAGGCCACCCTCTCCTCCCCGTCCCTCAGACCTAGTCCTACTACGGTGCTCCCAAGCTCAGATCTACTCCTCTCGAGCTCCGATCTACTCCTCCCGAGCTCACATCTACTCGTCCCAAGCTCAGATCTACTCCTCCCAAGCTCACATCTACTCCTCCCGAGCTCAGATCTATCCCCCCCGAGCTCAGATCTACTCCTCCCGAGCTCACATCTACTCCTCCCGAGCTCAGATCTACTCCTCCCGAGCTCAGATCTACTCCTCCCGAGCTCACATCTACTCCTCCCGAGCTCAGATCTACTCCTCCCGAGCTCAGATCTACTCCTCCCGAGCTCACATCTACTCCTCCCGAGCTTAGATCTACTCCTCCCGAGCTCACATCTATTCCTCCCCGTTCCTCAGATCTAGCCCCACCCACGGAGCTGCCCTCCCTTCACGCACCCTTAAGGCGCTGTCCTCCCTCCCCGTGCGCCCCCTAAGGCGCTGCCCTCCAAGGCACGTCCAGATCTGCAACTCCAGCGCCCAGATCTGCATTCCCCGCGCTCAGATCTGCAACTCCAGCGCCCAGATCTGCATTCCCCGCGCTCAGATCTGCAACTCCAGCGCCCAGATCTGCACTCCCTGCGACCAGATCTACTCCTCCCGCGCCTAGATCTGATCATTCCGCGCCCAGATCTGGATTCCGCGCCACCAGATCTCCTCCTCCCGCGCCCAGATCTGAACATTTCGCACCCAGATCTGCACTCCGCGCGCCCAGATCTGCACTCCGCCCACCCAGATCTGCCCTCCGCACGTCCAGATCTGCACTCCGCGCGCCCAGACCTGCCCTCCGCGCGCCCAGATCTGCCCTCCGCGCGACCAGATCTGCATCTCCCGCGCTGAAATCTGACCATTTCGCGCCCATCTCTGCTCGTCCGCGCCCTGCCCGTCCGCACGCCCTGCTCGTCCGCGCCCTGCCCGTCCGCACGCCCTGCTCGTCCGCGCCCTGCCCGTCCGCGCGCCCTGCTCGTCCGCGCCGTGCCCGTCCGCGCGCCCTGCTCGTCCGCCCTTCGCGTCCGCGCCCAGCCCGTCCGCACACCCTGCTCGTCCGCGCCCTGCCCGTCCGCACGCCCTGCTCGTCCGCGCCCTGCCCGTCCGCACGCCCTGCTCGTCCGCGCCCTGCCCGTCCGCGCGCTCTGCTCGTCCGCGCCCTGCCCGTCCGCGCGCCCTGCTCGTCCGCGCCCTCCCCGTCCGCGCACTCGTCGCACGCCCTCCTTCCCCGCTCGCTGTCCCCCGTCCCCTCGTCCGCCCCCTGCCCACCTCCCCGGCATACCGCACATTTGCAAACGCATACCGCACACCTTCATGCCCTGCTCGCCTGCGCCATGCCGTAACCGCCCACACTCACATTGCTCCCTCCATGGCAATAGTCGCCCTGGCATGCAGCAGAAGTGGTGCCGGTGGGCATGGAGGAGGGCATAGTGGTAGCTGTGGTGGTGGTCAAGGGAGACTCGCAGGATATTGTGGTATCAGGGGTTTGAGCGCAGGCTGCGGCGCAGCAGCAGCCTTCTCTCCTCGTGAATATGTGCCTCGCTATGGCCCGACTCGGGGACTTCAGTGCAAAATCTCCACCCAAGCCCACCATGCCCCGAGTCCACCCTTCTCTCCTCCTCCTCCTCAGCAGCAGCAGCAGCAGCAGCAGCAGCAGCAGCAGCAGCAGCAGCAGCAGCAGCGGCAGCGGCAGCGGCAGCGGCAGCGGCAGCGGCAGCGGCAGCGGCAGCAGCAGCAGCAGCAGCAGCAGCAGCACCGGCACCAGCAGCACCAGCAGCAGCAGCAGTAGCAGCAGCAGCAGCAGCAGCAGCAGCAGCAGCAGCAGCAGCAGCAGCAGCAGCAGCAGCAGCAGCAGCAGCAGCAGCAGCAGCAGCAGCAGCAGCAGCAGCAGCAGCAGCAGCAGCAGCAGCAGCAGCAGCAGCAGCAGCAGCAGCAGCAGCAGCTCTGGCACCTCCTCCTCCAGCTCCAGCAGTTGCTTCACCGCCTGCAGCAGCACCTTAGCGCACAAGCGCAGCTGCCTCTTCCTCCTCCTCCCCCAACTTCCCAGCAGAACTCAGTTCCGCATTGTTCCACAAGCTCCGCCACTTCAAGCAATGTCCCACCTCTCTCATCCGTTGGTATTGCTGGTATGGTCAATCAAGCCACATCAGCTGCCCCTGCCACATACTCCTCTAGCACTAAAGAAACTGCGTTCCAGTCCTCTGTCCCTTCCTCCTCCCTCCCCTCCACTGTCGACTTTGTCCTTGACAGCGGCGCCACTGACACAGTTCTTCGCGATGCTGGCACCTTGCGCCCCCTCCCAACGCCTACCTCCCTCCTTGGCGCCGATAGCAGCTTCTCTATCCCCTGCCATAACACCTCGACTCTCCCCTGCCCACTCTTCCCCTCAGGCACTGTCACCGGTCTCCACATACCCTCTCTTCGCGCTAATCTCCTCTCGCAAAGGTCCCTTCAACAAGCCGGTATCACCACAGTATTCCCAGCTTATGCTAACTATTGCGCTCTCTACCATTCCGCCACCGGTCAGTTCATTTCTCGCATTCCATTTTGCCCTCGCTCCCGTCTGTACACCCTTCGTGTTCCTCGCCTCCCCTCCTGTCAGGTCATCTCTCGTCCTCCCCTCCACCCTCTCATCCCACCCCCTCCTCTCCCTCCCACTAACCCGGACCTCCCTTCACGCCCCCCCCCTGACTCCTCTTGCTCCTGTCGCTCCCTCTCCCACCCTGCCGTCCTCCTCCATCACAGGCTAGGTCACCCTAACTTCGCTACTCTACGCTCCTCTGTTTCCTCCGGACTCCTCCATGGTCTCCCCTCCTCCCTCCCTCCTCTCCCCAAATCCCCTGCCCCCCCCTGCACCGTCTGCGTTCAGAGCAAGCTCAAGCAGCAGCCGCACCGGAGCTCCCCCTCCGCTGCTGCTCAGCCACTTGATCTTGTTCACATGGACCTCTGGGGCCCCAATCCCTCTCCCACTCGCCAGGGCCATCGATACCTCCTCGTACTCGTCGATGATCACAGTCGGTACTCGTCCGTCTCTCTCCTTCGGACGAAGGCAGATGCCCCGGCTGCGATCATCGCCTGGCTCGAGCGAGCAAACACCCATTTTGGGCGCCCTGTTCGCCGCCTTCACTCTGATGGTGGTGGTGAGTTCCTTAACAACCAAATATCCTCCTATTGCCAGTCTCATGGCATTCTTCAGACTTACACCCTCCCTCTCTGAGGACTCCCATGAGGAGTTCCTTGACCTCCACCTCTGTGACCCTTCCCTTCTACCCATCACCTTCGACCTTTCTGGGACACCTGTCTTCGCATTCTCCTCTGCTCCCTCCGTTTTCATCCCTACCACGTATGAGGAGGCCATGGCTTGCCCCGACGCCCCACTCTGGCTCGCCGCCATTATCAAGGAGCTGGAGGCCTTTGTCGCCAACTCCTCCTTTGTTGATGTGCCTCGCCCTCCCTCCTCTACGAACGTGGTGAAGGGGAAGTGGGTGTTTCGCGTCAAACAACTGCCAGGGGAGCCGCCCGTCTACAAGGCTCGTTACTGCGCCAAGGGGTTCACGCAGCGGTATGGTTTTGACTTCTTCGATACCTTCTCCCCCACTGCCAAGCCCGCTACTGTTCGCGCCGTGCTCGACCTCGCCGCTCGCCTCAATATGGAGATCCACTCGATGGACGTCTCTAACGCCTTCCTCCAAGGCGTCCTCCGCGAGCTTATCTACATGGAGCGTCCTGCCGGTTTTCACCTTCCCTTCCCTGCGGACTCTGTCTGGCAGCTGCGTCGCCCTGTGTATGGGCTCCGACAGGCCCCGAGGGAGTGGCATGCTAAGCTTGCCGCCACCCTTGCTGAACTTGGATTCCGCACCTCCCGTTCTGACGCCAGCCTCTTCCTCCGCGCCTCCCCCTCCCCCTTCTACATCCTTGTCTATGTCGATGACATGATTCTACTCACTGCCGACCTCAGCGAGTTGGAGCGTGTTAAGGCTGAGTTGGGCAGCCGTCTCAAGTGCAAGGACTTGGGCGAATTGCAGCATTACCTGGGCATGACAATCACCCGCGATCGCTCCGCCCGCACCATCTCTCTCTCCCAGGGTCATTACTTGCAGCAGGTCTTGGAGCGGTTTGACATGGTCCGCGGCGGCGCCCAACCTACTCCTCTTTCTGTCGGGCACCACCTCTCTCCACCCACCTCCCCCTCAGCCTCCTCCCATCCTTATCCCGAGCTCATCGGCTCCCTCATGTACGCCATGGTCTCCACTCGCCCTGACCTTGCCTACCCCATCAGCGTCCTCGCTCGTTTTGTTGGCGCAGGCAAGCATACGGAAGAGCACTGGCAGGCCGCCAAGCGTGTCCTCCGGTACCTTCGTGGCACCAAGGACTATGTCCTTACCCTCGGCGGCCCCTCCCCACCTACCCTCAGCGGCTACAGTGACTCCTCCTGGGCTGATTCCCAGCCAGATCGTCGCTCCTCCCAGGGCTATGGCTTCTCTCTTGGCAGCGGCCTTATCAGCTGGCGCTCCACCCGCTCCTCGGCTGTCGCCCTCTCCTCCTGCGAGGCGGAGTTGTATGCCGCCACCATGGCTGCGCAAGAGGCCCGCTGGCTCACCTTCCTCCTTGAGGAACTTGGTGCCCCCCAGCGCTGTCCCACCATTTGGTGTGACAATGCCAGTACCATTCACCTCACCAAAGATGCCGTGTTTCACGGGCGTTCCAAGCACATTGAGCTCCGTCATTTCTTCATTCGCGATCTTGTTCAGGCGGGGCACCTTCGGCTCGACAAGGTTGACTCGGCGGCCAACCTTGCCGACATCTTCACAAAAGCTCTTCCTCATGTCGCTCACTCTTTCCTACTTCGTCTTCTTGGCCTCACTCCTCCTAAGTCGCCTCCCGCCTCTTGATTCTAGCCTTCTAGCCTTATGCATGTTGGGGGGTTGTGTTGTAATTTCATAATTTGTACAACATACATAGGCTAGAATTAGATCTGTAGTACACTTATAAATTGGGGGTTGTTTAGTGTACCCTCCAACCACATTTTGTGGTTGGTTGGGATTGGTCCCTAGCTCAACCAATCCCAACCAACACACATTTGTGGTTGCTTGGGTCACAAGCAAGCTCACCCATTGGCCAACTTATTGGCCAATAGGGTAAGCTTCCCTTTCATCTCTCTCTTGCTCATTGTTTGTACTAAAGGGCCTCTTGGCTCATTATTCAATGTATCTCTTCTAGCTTTTTAACACAAGGTGAGGCGGCAAGCCCAAGGTGAGGCGGCAAGCCCAAGGTGAGGCGGCAAGCCCAAGGTGAGGCGGCAAGCCCAAGGTGAGGCGGCAAGCCCAAGGTGAGGCGGCAAGCCCAAGGTGGTTAACCCACCCAAGGCGACTACTTCCATGGCAGGTGTCAAAGACACAACGCAGTAAAGTCAGAGGTGAGCTGTGCACAGCTGTGTGATGTGCTGCTGCAGGAGCCACCTAGGTTGGACAACTCGTTTCTACTGTTTCCTCTCTCCTTTTCTTACTTTCTCTCCTCCCCTCTTCTCCTTTGTCTTGATCCACTTCCGCCACCACTGCCTCTCATTACCCACTACACACCAACACCTCTCCCCCCACACCATGCTGTCCTCTTCTTTCGTTTCTTCTTCCCGACCCGCCCCCCTCGCCGCACACTCTCCCTCCTCAAAACAGATGTTTTGGCCCAACATGCTGGCCTGTGGCAGTGTGCCACGTGGCAACGGGTCCATCTACCCGCCAATCAACAGCAGCACGGGCGAGGTGATGTCAACAGGCGTGTGCCAGCAGCCGGGCTCCACCTTCTTCTTCCACGGGGAGAACTTCAACGGCTATGGCCGCGCCCTGTACGTGCTTCAAGGCTATGGCCGCGCCCTGTACGTGCTTCAAGGCTATGGCCGCGCCCTGTACGTGCTTCAAGGCTATGGCCGCGCCCTGTACGTGCTTCAAGGCTATGGCCGCGCCCTGTACGTGCTTCAAGGCTATGGCCGCCCCCTGTACGTGCTTCAAGGCTATGGCCGCGCCCTGTACGTGCTTCAAGGCTATGGCCGCGCCCTGTACGTGCTTCAAGGCTATGGCCGCGCCCTGTACGTGCTTCAAGGCTATGGCCGCGCCCTGTACGTGCTTCAAGGCTATGGTCGCGCCCTGTACGTGCTTCAAGGCTATGGCCGCGCCCTGTACGTGCTTCAAGGCTATGGCCGCGCCCTGTACGTGCTTCAAGGCTATGGCCGCGCCCTGTACGTGCTTCAAGGCTATGGCCGCGCCCTGTACGTGCTTCAAGGCTATGGCCGCGCCCTGTACGTGCTTCAAGGCTATGGCCGCGCCCTGTACGTGCTTCAAGGCTATGGCCGCGCCCTGTACGTGCTTCAAGGCTATGGCCGCGCCCTGTACGTGCTTCAAGGCTATGGCCGCGCCCTGTACGTGCTTCAAGGCTATGGCCGCGCCCTGTACGTGCTTCAAGGCTATGGCCGCGCCCTGTACGTGCTTCAAGGCTATGGCCGCGCCCTGTACGTGCTTCAAGGCTATGGCCGCGCCCTGTACGTGCTTCAAGGCTATGGCCGCCCCCTGTACGTGCTTCAAGGCTATGGCCGCGCCCTGTACGTGCTTCAAGGCTATGGCCGCGCCCTGTACGTGCTTCAAGGCTATGGCCGCGCCCTGTACGTGCTTCAAGGCTATGGCCGCGCCCTGTACGTGCTTCAAGGCTATGGCCGCGCCCTGTACGTGCTTCAAGGCTATGGCCGCGCCCTGTACGTGCTTCAAGGCTATGGCCGCCCCCTGTACGTGCTTCAAGGCTATGGCCGCGCCCTGTACGTGCTTCAAGGCTATGGCCGCGCCCTGTACGTGCTTCAAGGCTATGGCCGTGCCCTGTACGTGCTTCAAGGCTATGGCCGCGCCCTGTACGTGCTTCAAGGCTATGGTCGCGCCCTGTACGTGCTTCAAGGCTATGGCCGCGCCCTGTACGTGCTTCAAGGCTATGGCCGCGCCCTGTACGTGCTTCAAGGCTATGGCCGCGCCCTGTACGTGCTTCAAGGCTATGGCCGCGCCCTGTACGTCCTTCAAGGCTATGGTCGCGCCCTGTACGTGCTTCAAGGCTATGGCCGCGCCCTGTACGTGCTTCAAGGCTATGGCCGCGCCCTGTACGTGCTTCAAGGCTATGGCCGCGCCCTGTACGTGCTTCAAGGCTATGGCCGCGCCCTGTACGTGCTTCAAGGCTATGGCCGCGCCCTGTACGTGCTTCAAGGCTATGGCCGCGCCCTGTACGTGCTTCAAGGCTATGGCCGCGCCCTGTACGTGCTTCAAGGCTATGGCCGCGCCCTGTACGTGCTTCAAGGCTATGATCGCGCCCTGTACGTGCTTCAAGGCTATGGCCGCGCCCTGTACGTGCTTCAAGGCTATGGCCGCGCCCTGTACGTGCTTCAAGGCTATGGCCGCGCCCTGTACGTGCTTCAAGGCTATGGCCGCGCCCTGTACGTGCTTCAAGGCTATGGCCGCGCCCTGTACGTGCTTCAAGGCTATGGCCGCCCCCTGTACGTGCTTCAAGGCTATGGCCGCGCCCTGTACGTGCTTCAAGGCTATGGCCGCGCCCTGTACGTGCTTCAAGGCTATGGCCGCGCCCTGTACGTGCTTCAAGGCTATGGCCGCGCCCTGTACGTGCTTCAAGGCTATGGTCGCGCCCTGTACGTGCTTCAAGGCTATGGCCGCGCCCTGTACGTGCTTCAAGGCTATGGCCGCGCCCTGTACGTGCTTCAAGGCTATGGCCGCGCCCTGTACGTGCTTCAAGGCTATGGCCGCGCCCTGTACGTGCTTCAAGGCTATGGCCGCGCCCTGTACGTGCTTCAAGGCTATGGCCGCGCCCTGTACGTGCTTCAAGGCTATGGCCGCGCCCTGTACGTGCTTCAAGGCTATGGTCGCGCCCTGTACGTGCTTCAAGGCTATGGCCGCGCCCTGTACGTGCTTCAAGGCTATGGCCGCGCCCTGTACGTGCTTCAAGGCTATGGCCGCGCCCTGTACGTGCTTCAAGGCTATGGCCGCGCCCTGTACGTGCTTCAAGGCTATGGCCGCGCCCTGTACGTGCTTCAAGGCTATGGCCGCGCCCTGTACGTGCTTCAAGGCTATGGCCGCGCCCTGTACGTGCTTCAAGGCTATGGCCGCGCCCTGTACGTGCTTCAAGGCTATGGCCGCGCCCTGTACGTGCTTCAAGGCTATGGCCGCGCCCTGTACGTGCTTCAAGGCTATGGCCGCGCCCTGTACGTGCTTCAAGGCTATCTCCGCGCCCTGTACGTGCTTCAAGGCTATGGCCGCGCCCTGTACGTGCTTCAAGGCTATGGCCGCGCCCTGTACGTGCTTCAAGGCTATGGCCGCGCCCTGTACGTGCTTCAAGGCTATGGCCGCGCCCTGTACGTGCTTCAAGGCTATGGTCGCGCCCTGTACGTGCTTCAAGGCTATGGCCGCGCCCTGTACGTGCTTCAAGGCTATGGCCGCGCCCTGTACGTGCTTCAAGGCTATGGCCGCGCCCTGTACGTGCTTCAAGGCTATGGCCGCGCCCTGTACGTGCTTCAAGGCTATGGCCGCGCCCTGTACGTGCTTCAAGGCTATGGCCGCGCCCTGTACGTGCTTCAAGGCTATGGCCGCGCCCTGTACGTGCTTCAAGGCTATGGCCGCGCCCTGTACGTGCTTCAAGGCTATGGCCGCGCCCTGTACGTGCTTCACGGCTATGGCCGCGCCCTGTACGTGCTTCAAGGCTATGGCCGCGCCCTGTACGTGCTTCAAGGCTATGGCCGCGCCCTGTACGTGCTTCAAGGCTATGGCCGCGCCCTGTACGTGCTTCAAGGCTATGGCCGCGCCCTGTACGTGCTTCAAGGCTATGGCCGCGCCCTGTACGTGCTTCAAGGCTATGGCCGCGCCCTGTACGTGCTTCAAGGCTATGGTCGCGCCCTGTACGTGCTTCAAGGCTATGGCCGCGCCCTGTACGTGCTTCAAGGCTATGGCCGCGCCCTGTACGTGCTTCAAGGCTATGGCCGCGCCCTGTACGTGCTTCAAGGCTATGGCCGCGCCCTGTACGTGCTTCAAGGCTATGGCCGCGCCCTGTACGTGCTTCAAGGCTATGGCCGCGCCCTGTACGTGCTTCAAGGCTATGGCCGCGCCCTGTACGTGCTTCAAGGCTATGGCCGCGCCCTGTACGTGCTTCAAGGCTATGGCCGCGCCCTGTACGTGCTTCAAGGCTATGGCCGCGCCCTGTACGTGCTTCAAGGCTATGGCCGCGCCCTGTACGTGCTTCAAGGCTATGGCCGCGCCCTGTACGTGCTTCAAGGCTATGGCCGCGCCCTGTACGTGCTTCAAGGCTATGGCCGCGCCCTGTACGTGCTTCAAGGCTATGGCCGCGCCCTGTACGTGCTTCAAGGCTATGGCCGCGCCCTGTACGTGCTTCAAGGCTATGGCCGCGCCCTGTACGTGCTTCAAGGCTATGGCCGCGCCCTGTACGTGCTTCAAGGCTATGGCCGCGCCCTGTACGTGCTTCAAGGCTATGGCCGCGCCCTGTACGTGCTTCAAGGCTATGGCCGCGCCCTGTACGTGCTTCAAGGCTATGGCCGCGCCCTGTACGTGCTTCACGGCTATGGCCGCGCCCTGTACGTGCTTCACGGCTATGGCCGCGCCCTGTACGTGCTTCAAGGCTATGGCCGCGCCCTGTACGTGCTTCAAGGCTATGGCCGCGCCCTGTACGTGCTTCAAGGCTATGGCCGCGCCCTGTACGTGCTTCAAGGCTATGGCCGCGCCCTGTACGTGCTTCAAGGCTATGGCCGCGCCCTGTACGTGCTTCAAGGCTATGGTCGCGCCCTGTACGTGCTTCAAGGCTATGGCCGCGCCCTGTACGTGCTTCAAGGCTATGGTCGCGCCCTGTACGTGCTTCAAGGCTATGGTCGCGCCCTGTACGTGCTTCAAGGCTATGGCCGCGCCCTGTACGTGCTTCAAGGCTATGGCCGCGCCCTGTACGTGCTTCAAGGCTATGGCCGCGCCCTGTACGTGCTTCAAGGCTATGGCCGCGCCCTGTACGTGCTTCAAGGCTATGGCCGCGCCCTGTACGTGCTTCAAGGCTATGGCCGCGCCCTGTACGTGCTTCAAGGCTATGGCCGCGCCCTGTACGTGCTTCAAGGCTATGGCCGCGCCCTGTACGTGCTTCAAGGCTATGGCCGCGCCCTGTACGTGCTTCAAGGCTATGGCCGCGCCCTGTACGTGCTTCAAGGCTATGGCCGCGCCCTGTACGTGCTTCAAGGCTATGGCCGCGCCCTGTACGTGCTTCAAGGCTATGGCCGCGCCCTGTACGTGCTTCAAGGCTATGGCCGCGCCCTGTACGTGCTTCAAGGCTATGGCCGCGCCCTGTACGTGCTTCACGGCTATGGCCGCGCCCTGTACGTGCTTCAAGGCTATGGCCGCGCCCTGTACGTGCTTCAAGGCTATGGCCGCGCCCTGTACGTGCTTCAAGGCTATGGCCGCGCCCTGTACGTGCTTCAAGGCTATGGCCGCGCCCTGTACGTGCTTCAAGGCTATGGCCGCGCCCTGTACGTGCTTCAAGGCTATGGCCGCGCCCTGTACGTGCTTCAAGGCTATGGCCGCGCCCTGTACGTGCTTCAAGGCTATGGCCGCGCCCTGTACGTGCTTCAAGGCTATGGCCGCGCCCTGTACGTGCTTCAAGGCTATGGCCGCGCCCTGTACGTGCTTCAAGGCTATGTCCGCGCCTTGTACGTGCGAAGACCATCCCAACCCATCCCAAACCAATTTCAGCCCATCCCATCCCATCTCAACCCGCGCTTTCATCCATGGCCGCCCCACTCCCACCAGGTACAACGTGAAGGCAGCAGCGGGCAGCCTCCCCTCTGCCTTCCACCTCACGTACGTGTCGCAGTGTGGCGTCCGTGTTCCCATCCCTGTCTTTCCCGCCCCTATCTGACCGCTCTGCCAACCCACCCTCCGCACCCACCCACCAGGTACAACGTGAAGGCAGCAGCGGGCAGCCCCTCCTGGGCGTTCAACCTGACATACGTGTCGCAGTGCGGCGCCATGAAGCCCGTGTTCCCCGCGTGGATGAGCCACCCCGCCCTTGTGGGGCCAGCGCTCGCCCTCTTTGCCTCGCGCCATCATGAGAGCAGCGCTGCTCGCACCAGCGATGATGAGAGCAGTAACAGCAGTGGGGACAGCAGCAGTAGTAGCAGCAGCAGTGGGGAGGGCAGCAGCGAAGAGAGCAGCAGGGGTGGCAGCAGCGGCAGGGAGGGGAGGAAGGGCGAGTATGACATGGCGCTGGTGGGCACCACTCTGCACGACCTCGTTCAGCAACCCACCGCCCACGCCTTTGGAGCTCTGCTGGGTAGGTGCTCAGCTGGGTAGGTGCTCAGCTGGGTAGGTGCTCAGCTGGGTAGGTGCTCTGCTGGGTAGGTGCTCAGCTGGGTAGGTGCTCAGCTGGGTAGGTGCTCTGCTGGGTAGGTGCTCTGCTGGGCAGACCCTCGGCAGTCATGGCAGACCCTCAGCAGTCATGGCAGACCCTCAGCACCCTTGAGCAGCAACTGTATCAATCAGTGGGCTCACCTCCCTTGGTGTCTATGCGCTGCGCCATGCCTGCCACCATGCAGAGTCCAACCTGCTCCCTCCGCTGCTAGCAGCCATGAGGGACCGCTCAGCCGTGACACTGCTGGGGCCGTGGGCGGCGAGGGAGGACAGCAAGCCGCCCGAGTTCATCGCCGTCAGCAACAATGCGCGTGCCGTGGCGTTTGAAGAGGAGCTCCTCAGGTGCGCTGCTGGGAGTGTAGTGTCACATGCCTTCAAGTCACGTTCCGTCCGGTGCCCCAGTCCCACCAGGCTCATCTGTCTGTACCAGGCTCATCTGTCTGTACCAGGCTCATCTGTCTGTACTGGGTCACATTCATTTCCAAGAGCGCCCCAGAGCACCCCAAAGCGCCCCGGTGTGCTGGTATGCTGCCACTGTCGGCGCCATGTCGCTCCTCTTCACCGCACCTTCCACCCTCACACCGCACTGCTTCCTTTTCAACCGCATGGAGAACCCACCCCCGACCTGCCCATGATGCTGCTCCCATTGCCGCCCTCCTAATCCCCCTCGTTTCTGCTCCAGCCAGTTCCACACGACCCGGGGCTCCCAGTGAGCGCAGTGGGGTGGGATGGGCATGATGATGGTGGCTCTGCCAAGGCCACCAGGACACAGTACGCCTGGCCCCGCCCATCTTCCTCCCTCTGCCCTCCACACCCCCCCCTGTCAGGCGCCTACCGTCCACACAGCCCGGGGCACCCAGTGCGATGGGCATGATGGGGCTGACTCTACCACGACCAGACCTGTGCCCCGACAGCACACACTACGCCTGGCCCGTCACCCTCGCCATCCTTGACCTCTGGCTCACACCCCTCTGCGCCCCACGCCCCTCACATGCTCCTGAACTCTAGCGAATAAACAAAAGCCTGGAAAACCAAAATAAATGAAGCGAGCCTGTTGGTACCGGTATGCCCCTTCATGACAAGCGTCTTCCATGGCCCGCCTGCGCATCGCCGTGTCGCGACTCGGGCTATTCCCACCGCCGTGGCTCGGTCTTGTTATATTCAACACCATCTCTGAAGAATCATGTCCAACTTGTGTTGGACTATTTAATCTTGTTAAGCCATAATCATTGAGGATGGTCTTGGGCTTGGCTTTATGACAGAATACAGAAACTCCTTGAGAAAAAAGAGTACCGTTTGCTTGATAGAGTTGTATGGAATTTTAATCTGTGGTTGTTGCTAAAGCAGAACAATAGGTATGCTTCACAAAGCTCAGCGGAGCTATTTATGGCCGACACATTCCACTTAGTGCTTATTCACTATACTGTATTTGCACGATGAGTACTTTGATGTACACTTATACGCCACCCTGGATAAATGGACCAAATGTTGCAACGAATCTTGAGTCGCCAGTCCAGGGTAGATGTAATGAACATGAATTCATTACTGTAGAAGCAGCTCCTAGCGAGGACAGCCCGAGCACTTCGCGTCAGTGTGGCTCGGCCTACACTTTCGTACCGAACCAGCGCCGAGTCGCCCCGCACCAATCGCGACACTTCCAAGCCTCGCACGTCCCGAGGCCCTCGCCTAGCACGGTTTAGACCCTATAAATGCTCGCTTCTTTATCATTCTCGTGATTCGGTACTTTCATCCATTTTATAAAGTCTTCCGCGCACTCTTCTTAGTACAACTCATAACACTTGGTATCAGAGCCTAATTTCCTAGGTTCCCCGTCTTTTAGAGTGTATTACCCCTCGGGGGGGGGACAGGGAAGGATGCCGTGGTGACAGGAGTAGCGCAGTAGCCGGCCAGGAGAACGGGTAGTTGCTCCTAGCGGCCATGAAATTCACTGGCATTCCTGCAGCACCGACGGATCCTTGCCCCGACGGTCAAGATCGACCGTGGCCTCCCTCCCCCCGGGTGGCGGACAGCTTTTGCTGTCGTCGCATTTAATGCGTAAGTCACTTGCATGGCGTTTTCGTCAATTTCGGAGTTAACACTGTGTGGCAGCTGACGTCGAAGGGAACGTCGTCACTGCACGTCCGAGATCGACGGAGATGATCGTCGTGCGAGTTGCGTCAGCACGTAGTCGACAACTGCGCGCGACAATTTCGGTGATAACGCGTGCGGCACGTGGCGTCGGACGATTTCGTCATGTTGCGCACGATAATTTCGGAGGTCGTCGGCACGTGGTGATCGTCGTCACTGTGCGCGAAGATTTCGGGTGGGTGACTTCATGGCATAAACGACAGCTGGTGATTTGCGTCGGAAAATGCAACGGCGAGGAGAGACGGCGTGACGACTGCCCGAAGAAAGCGGGGGTCTACCGCGGGCACGCAGGGAGCGCAAGGCTGCGCCATACAGCTGTACGGGGTGGCATCGGAAAAAGTCGCCGACATTGACACGCTCTGCGCTGCTGTACCCGACGACGTGGCGAGCATAATTCGGAGGTATCCCGAAATTTTCGCGGATGACCTCAGCGACGGGCTGCCACCTCAGCGACCGGAAGACCACGGGATCGAACTAGAGCCAGGAGCACAACCAACCGTTCGGAGCCAGTGGCGGCTCAGCCAACCGGAGCTTGACAAATTGCGGAAACAACTGAATTATCTACTTTCGAAGGGTTATATCTGGCCGAGCCCGTCACCATTCACAGCCCCGATACTGTTCACACCGAAGAAAGACGGAGGCCTGCGCATGTGCATCGACTATTGAGCGCTGAATCAGATCACCATCAAGTCGCGAGCGGACGACCTGCTGGATCAGCTTCGCGGGGCTCGCTTCTTCTCGAAAATCGATTTGCGAGGTGGCTACCATCAAATTCGTGTGTCCGCCGACGACTGCCCGAAGACCGATTTTTGCACCCGCTACGGCAGTTACGAGTATACAGTGATGCCGTTCGGGTTGACAAATACACCGTCGACGTTCCAACTCACCATGAACGGGGTGTTCCGGGACATGTTGGACAAAAAAGTTATCGTTTATCTCGATGACATCCTGGTGTATAGCAAGACTCGGGAGCAGCATTTACATGATTTGGAGGAGGTGTTCCGGCACTTGCAGCAGAACCGACTAATTACGAAGGGCTCTAAGTGTGAGTTCCTACGTTTGAAGCCGGAGCTCCTGGGGCACGTAGTTTCAGGGGAGGGTATTAAGATTGACCCTCGCAAAGTAACAACGATTTCGGAATTGAAGCCACCTACGAACATCACGGAGTTGCAGGGTTTCCTTGACTTCGTTAACTACGTCCGCCGTTTTGTACCGAATATGGCGGGGGTAACCAGGTCGTTAACCGATCTTCTGCACAAAGGCACGCAGTTTTTTTGGGGGGAGAGAGAACAGTTGGCCTTCGACGAGCTCAGGAAATTTTTGAGTTCACCCCCGATGCTTCGGCTGGCAGATCCATTTTCGACCGTTCAAAGTCGTGACGGACGCCAGCGATTTCGCCGTCGGCGCCGTCCTGCTACAGGACTTCGGCAAAGGGCTGCAACCAATCGCATACGAGTCACGGAAGATGCAGACGCCCGAGCGCAACTACCCTGTATACGACAAAGAAATGCTCGCCATCGTGCACGCAATTTCGTACCTGGCGCTGTTATCTCACGGGAGCCGACGTCACGATCAGGACAGACGTCAAGTCATTACAGTACATGCGCAACCAACTATAGCTCAACCCGCGACAAATCCGGTGGCTCGATTACCTCGAGTCCAATTTCCGCTACACTATCACATACAAAAAGGGCGCCAACAACATCGCCGACGCCCTGACCCGCCCATCGATGCAGACCGCAGCAGTACTTATCGCCCATTCTAACCCTTTATTGGTAGGATTGTTCAAGCATGGCTATAGGACCGATCGCTTCTTCAGAACGAATCAACACCACCGGACCACTACAGCACATGGGAGCTATTACCTAAAAGTTGGTACGAACTGAGTTTGGGTACCTTCCTACCGACCCTTCCTATCAAGAATTGCTGACGCAGGAGGTGCACGAATCCAACCTTTCCGGGCATTTCGGCGTTGACAAAACATTGAAGCTGCTGCAGCGGAATTACTACTAGCCTGATATGGCGTCGGACGTGCAGCGCTACGTGTCCGCCTGCCCGACCTGCCAAGCAATGAAGTCATCACGCCAACGTCCAGCTGGATTGCTACAGCCCCTCGAGCCACCTGAACGACTGTTGCAACATGTGACGATGGACTTTGTCACTGGACTGCCAACTGGCGCAAGTGGTAACGACTCGGTGTTGGTCGTCGTTGACCGATTGATGAAAATGGTGCATTTCGCCCCATGCCGCACGACGATCACAGCCGAAGAAAAAGCAAAGCTATTCATCTCAACCGTCGTACGCCTACATGGGTTACCTTCAGTGATCGAGACTCGAAATTCACGTCAAAGTTCTGGCAGGAGACATGGGCACAGTACGGGATCCGTCTGCAGTTTTCGTCGTCATACCACCCGCAAACCGACGGTCAAACAGAACGGACAAACCAAACTATGGAGCAACTGATTCGCTCGAACTGCCCCGACATCACCAAGTGGGAAGATTCGCTTCCCATGCTGGAGTTTGCGTACAACAACGCCCTGTCTGCGACGACTAATCAACCGCCGTTCTACCTCAATTACGGGATGGTTCCCATGGTACCCTCTTCCATGACCCCCAATAATCCGGTACCACGATCGCAGCAATTCGTTTCGCAACTACAAGCGGCACGCGACAAAGCAACGGAGTCTATTCAAAAGGCAAATAATATTGCCAGCCGCTACGCCGACAAGCACCGACGGAACTTACTCTTCCGTGATGGGCAGATGGTCCTCCTGGACACCAAGAACCTTCGTCTGCCCCAACCTGCAAAACTGCGTCCCCGCTACGTGGGACCCTTCCGCATCGTTCGGATGTTGACCCCGGTCACGGCGAAACTGTTGCTACCCGACGACTGGAAAATCCACGACGCCTTCCACGTCAGCCTGCTCCGCCACTACGTGGCCTCGCAGTCGTCAGACATCGCCCGACCCACCATCGCGCCAAGTGTCCGGCTAGTGGCAGACCCGATTATTCAGCCCTCGAAGATTTTGAACCATCGCAGCCGTGCGGCACCAGCAGGACGCCACGTCGACTTCATTCTACGCTGGGTGGATCGCACAAGTGAGGACAACACGTGGGCCCCGGCGGACTCACTGCAAGGCCACTTGGTATTACGGGACTAACTCTCCCGCCGCCGCGTGCCCAATATCGACCACCTTTCTTAAGGGGTGGGGGTGGTGTAAGGAATTTTCCGAATTCCTTACTGAGGCACTCTGTACGCGTACAATTCCAACTTTTCGAAAATCAGGCTCGGTCCGCTGACCTCGACTTCCGGACCACTACTGCGTCGCCTTCGGGTTTCCCAACCCCAAACCTGCACCCAACCATCTCGCGACTCCGCGACCTCGGCCTAGCTAGTTTCACTATATTAGTTCTAGGTCTCGTTGTGTGTTCAGTAGTTGTAATCACTTCCGCGATATTGCATTCTGCGCACTCTTCATTCGTACAACTCATAACAAATACAATACCTTTACTTCGACGCACGAAATCCCAAGCTGCTGGGTGGGTCCATGCTGGTTTCCATACGCTGATTTCGCGAGGCAGCGCGTGGAACTAGCACATAAATGTTCGACTCTGGTTAAACTGTTGAGTGCAGTACACTTATAACCGCAAAAGTAGACATTTGAGTTGGGTTTGGAGTTTGAAGAGTGTATATCAGGGCCTTATTTATTTGCGTAAAAGATACGGATTACATTGATTTTGAAGCTGCGTTTTTTTTTTTTTTTTTTTTCTTCGCTGAAATTTCAGTGTCTTGTTTATGTTTACACTGTTTTTTCAGGTTAAGTGTAGGAACAACCCTGACGAATTGGTATTCATGTGTA